TTCCATTTTATTAGAGATGCCATATTGGCACATCTGGGAAAAACCTGAATCTGAAAACTCCTGGGTTTTCCCCACTCAAAGGAAAGTCGAAGTCCCTTCCCCTGCACCCACATGTCCATCACATGGTCGAACCAATCCACCATCCCAACTGGAGATGCCTCCCAGTCACGCCACTCTAGGTGCAGGCTGAATGTCCTTGACTTTCAGAGAAAATATGTTGTTATGGCTAAATACCTCTACCAACTCCATACATCCCAGTTTCCCACATCACTAAGTATGGCAGCCCTGAAGATCCAAAAGAAAAGATGGCCTCCAGAGCTGACAAAGGTATCAGGCTAGAAACTGGGAGATTGTGATTTCTAGTTCCATTTTAGGCATAAAACCAGTTGGTGACTTTGGGCCAGTCATTTTCTGTCAGCCCATCTCACCTCACAGAGTTGTTGTTGTGGAGAAAATAGGAAGGGGAAGGAATGTTACTGCATTTAGTTCATGTTTAGTTTATGTTCGCTGCTTTAAGTTGTTTTTAAAAATAATAAAGATGGGAAATAAATAAAGTATATCAACTATTATGTAACAGTTCTAATTTCTTTCCTTTACTTCAGTACTTTTAATATAGGAACTTTGAAGCTAAACTAAACGCAGTTGAAAAGGGAACAGAATCTAAGTTGTAGTTTAAGCACAGGATTTGCTACATTTTATTCTTGTTAAATTATGGCTTGACTACATTTTTGCATTTAATTTCAATTTCAAATTTCAAAACTTTATTATCAGTGCACAACATATGTACAATGAGATTGGTTGAGCTCCTTCAGTGCACCCCCCATCACAATACAGCTCACAGTGAAGAAAGAAAATCCCTAACCCAATAAATCATATTAACAAACACCCAGTCCTATTGCACCAGTGTGAACATGTTACACGTTATACCATCCCTGCAAGTCCATCATACTACATAGTTATGATATTTCGTATTCAGGAGTCTGACAGCCCACGGATAAAAACTATTCTTCAGCCTGTTTGTGTGGCTGGCTATGCTTCTATATCTCCTTCCTGATGGTAGGAGGGTAAAGAACTGGTGACAGGGTGTGACTTATCCCTGAGAATTTTCCTCACTCTTCTAAGGCAGTGAGCCCTAGTGATCTCATCTAGTGGACAGCCCACAATGTTTTGTGCTGTGCTCACCATCCTCTGTAATGTTTTTTTTATCTGCAGCTATCAAACTGGCATGCCATACCATGATGCAATAACTGATGGCACTTTCTATTGTGGATTGGTAAAAGGAGGTCATCAGTTGTTGTTCCACTCTGTTTTTATGCAAGACCCTAAGGAAGTGGAGTCTCTGTTGGGCCTTCCTGGCCACCTGGATCCTGTTGTTTTTCCAGGTGAGGTCTTTGCTGAGATGGACTCCCAGGAATTTAAAGGAGGAAACTCTCTCTACACAGCCCCCCTCGATGTAAAGTGGGGCAGGTTCCTCTCTCTTCCTCCAGAAGTCCAACACCATCTCCTTGGTCTTGCTGATGTTCAGGTATAGGTTGTTTTTTAAGCACCATGAGGATAGATTTTGAATCTCCCTCCTGTATACTGTTTCATCTCTATCTGTAAAACCCTATTTAGTGGGTTTGTTGAAAATTTCGCTTGATGCTTGTAGCACAACTCTCCATTTTCCATTTAAATATAGCAGCATATTCTTTGATACTAGCTTTCATTTCCCTATTTCCTAGTTTAGACCGACATCTAGAACAGACGCAGCTTGGGACAATAACCTAGCCTCTGATTTTCTGTAATGTGCCATCTACATGAATCACAGTTAGCCCACTAATCATTTATAACATCAGGGTTTTTTTGGCTTATGTTTTAGCAGTCTATTTTTCCCCCCATTTTCTCTTTTGTGCAGCATATTTTTACTAAATTAATAACTACAGAAAATGCTTAATCTTGCTGTGCAATGCTTGAAGAACAATACAATCATTTAGCAATCAATATGAAATGTCAATGACACATGTGTACCCTACTGTATCATACATAAAGAACAGAAAATAGATGCACTATAATTTATTCTTCTAAACTTCATTGATCAGGCACATTTCTTCTATATTACATTCCATTCATTTCACAAAATATAGAAGATTTCTCCTGAACTCAATGAATGAAATTCACAGTGAATTCCTGAGAGTGCCTCCCTTAGTTGTGGATCATCCACAAACTCCTTCACAAAAAAGTTGTGGATGCTCCATCACTGATAAAAATAATTATTTTTGAAGGGAGATTTAAAAGTGTCCATCAATATCTTACAGCTATATATTTTAACAATTATAGTCCATCGTCCATGCTCAACCAAATCATGAAATATTCATTAAAATTGGAGGCAATTCAACATATCTATTTATCACTAAGAGCAATTAGCTTCATTTCAAATGAATGCAAGACTATGTGCTAATTATATCATGTTAATTCCTCCCAGACCTTGGAAATTGCTTCTTCATCAGATGCATCACTTCAGTAGAAAGCCTACTTCAATCTTCCAACAGAGGAAGAGGCTATGCTATAGTCCTTAGTCTTTCCTAAGGATTCAGAGTTTAACGGAAGCTGTCCGTTCTTGCTGTGTAATTGTGTAATTTTTATGATCTCAGTCTAGGCCAGGACTCTCTGTAGAATAAAAAAAGATTTCTCTCTCTCGGAAAATATAACCACCACATTCACCACTGGTTTATACAAACAGAATATTTCAAGTTTATACTTCCAAAGTAGATATTAATGGTTTATATCAATTTAATAAAATTTTAACTTCTTGTCCAAAGGAATTGCCTACTTAGGAGTCTCAACTATTTTTTCTCAAGCCTTAACACCAGAGGAATTTCAGAATAGCATCAGAATGAAACAGCCCAATAAAAGGTTGCATAATTTAAATAAACTGACAAGAAGTACTCTTAAGTAAACTAAATGGCATATCTTACAAAGGTTAAAAAATAATGCATCATAACTAAACTGGTCAAAAATAATAATACCAGAACTCTAAATTACTTAAATAACAGAATTAGCAACAATTTTAAAATCGGGATTGTCTATAATGAAAGTTTTTGGTGTGCAAAAGGATCAGTGTTTATTATCTATTATATCTGCAACCCTAGGTTTTCTGCCTCTCATGTAGCACTAAGAATCTTTTTTCATTTGTGTCCACATTAGAGTTTTATCAGAACAGATGTATTAGTTCAGAATGCTACTGACATAACATACTGCCATAAGCAACAAAGTCAAATATACACTCTCAAACCACAATTTATGCATTTATTACTGAGAATCAGTAGTATGAAACTTGACTTCTTATAATGTATCGGTTAATCAAGTAGGGGACCAACATATGTGAAATGGCAGTAAGAATGGATGTTTCTGGCTGATCTACAAAGCCATTTGCACATAGCAAAATCATATATTCTGTATCCCATGGTTCCCTAATATTTCCAGATTTCCAATTATTGCAAGAGACAAGTTCTAAAACTAAATTAAAAAGAACAGGTGAAAGAGGACATTCTTGGCAAGTACCATGGTATATATAACAATTTTATTTCATTTTTATGAACATTCTTGTTATTTTTTTATTGAATTTCTAGTGGAAATTGCCTTGAGCCTTTCTGATTTGGCAGCCATTAAGTAAAAAATTTTTTTTATGAAAACAACAAAAACTTTATCAAAAACAAGAGTGCAGCACTGATAATTACACATGGTTCATCAATTAAATATATTCTTTCAGACTACATAACTTTGGGGAAAATCCATAATACATCAGCAGCTTCTTCAAAAATATAATAGTAATTAGTAGTAACAACAACAATTATATATATATATATATATATATATATATATATATATATATGTATGTATGTATGTATGTATGTATGTATGTATGTATGTATGTATGGTAACTGGCCTAATGTCACCCAGTTGGCTTTCATACCTAAGGCAGGACTTAAACTCATGGTCTCCTTTTTTCTAGCCTGCTGCCTTAGCAATTAATTTAATTTAATAATTTAATTTAATATTTGAATTTATATACCGCCCTTCTCCCGAAGGACTCAGGGCGGTGAACAGCCAGAAGTAAAAAACATCAAATACAAAATTTAAAAACAATTTAAAAATAAATTAAACATTTTGGCCCGACAGTTAAAATCCCTGATTAAAAATCCAAATTAAAATACACAATTGGAGAGATTAGGCCAGCCCGATTTGATGAAATAAAAATGTTTTGAGGGCCCGACGGAAAGTACATAAGTCCGGAATCGTCCGTATCTCCGGGGGGAGCTCGTTCCAGAGGGCAGGTGCTCCCACAGAGAAAGCTCTCCCCCTGGGGGCCACCAGTCAGCATTGTTTGGCCGACGGCACCCGGAAGAGCCCCTCTCTGTGGGAGCGTACTGGCCAGTGGGAGGCTCTCGGTGGCAGAAGGCCGTCCCATAAATATCCAGGCCCTAAGCCATGGCGTGCTCTAAAGGTGGTCACCAACACCTTGAATTGCACCCGGAGGACCACTGGGAGCCAGTACATGCAGGAGAAGTGTTACATGGGAGCGCCATGACGCTCCCATAATCACCCGCACGGCCGCATTCTGGACCAGTTGGAGCCTCCGGGTGCTCTTCAAGGGGAGCCTCATGTAGAGAGTATTGCAGTAGTCCAGTAGATCAAACTGGCTCTATATGATTTACTGCTGGAAATATTAACTGAACACAAGTTGAATTAGACTGTTTGGACCGAAAACAAGAAAGCTACTGACTATGTATTACATCCCTGTTGTGATATTGATATATTGTATGAGTCCCACACAATTGGCAGAGGTTTTCTTCAAGTCAAACAAACTACTGAGGAAGAGAAGCTATGCATTGGCTGATTATATAAGACAGCCAAGAACAAGCATTTAAAAATAGGAACTTACAGAATGTACAAGAAATAAAATGTATATATTGAAATGGCATGGAAAAGCATTACATAGATACATTGGTCTATTTCTACAGAAGACAAGGGGAAAGAGGATAAAGATAAAACAAAGCAATGGCTTACAAATGGAACATTAAAAAAAAAAAAGAAACAGAAGGCTTGTTTTTGGCTGCTCAAGAATAAGCTATTCAAATCATTTTACCAGATGATCAAACCAAACCGGTTGTAAAAGTGAGTTGACTGCTAATGAAATTATTTCTTTGGAGAGGTATATCAGTTGTAACTTGGAGACCAGGTCGTAACTTTTTTGACTATTCTGTAATTTTGAATGGTCATTAAGTGATTGGTTGTAAATTGAGGATTATCTGCATAGAAAAGGGGCAGAACTTGCACCATATTAGCAGGACCATGCATGGGATCCTGCGAGCATTTGTGAAGGAAGGAGTGAGTATTCATGTTGGGAAACAACAACAAATTGCCAAATATTAATCCATCTTAGATTTATATATTCTCCTGCAAAATATAAGGAATCCAAAAATATTATTTTAGTGGGCAAGTATTGCAATTTAAAATGGGATTTAAAGTTGTGTTACAGCCTCTAAAAAGGCTGAAAACAGTTATGAAGTAATAGTGGAAAGCCTGTGGTTGAGCCATACAAATTCCCAACCTGCTTTAGTCAAAACTTATTGCAGCCGATATTTGAACAGTCCCTACATGCATTAAATATGTAATTATTAGCGATAATAGTATTGTATAAACCAAAAATGATAGAAAAGTTAAAAAAGAAAAAACTATTTCTGCCAAATAAATTTTCAGCAAGCTTGAAAAACCATGAGGGTGAGGAGGAGGGAAAGAAAAAAGTTAATCACAGTTGGAAAAGTGACTATTGCTCAACATTTTTTTCTTTTTTCTATTTTCCATTCCATTTTTTTCTATCAAGGTCAATTATATAGAACAAAGAAAAGTCTAATTAAAAAGGTAAAGATAAGTAGCCTGAAGTTGGTGGTAAGCAGAAACACAGAACATGGAACATTTGCAATCTTTCAATAAGATTTGAGCAGGAGCTGAAGATAAGATTTTTTTTGGCCTCAGCAGCACTGTGCAAATATCTCTGAACTCCGTCCAAATAATTGAGAATAAAAATACCCTGAAGCTAATAAAATATTGAAACTTTTTCTGATAACCCAAAAATTTGCTATACTAAATGCCTTTCTGTTTGGCTGCATTACCACCCATTGCATAAAATAATTCTAATGCTTATGTATCTGTGTAAACCTAGTTGTAGAACTATGTTGTTTTAATGATAGGTAGTAAACTAGGGCTGATGTTCACTTTAGTTCTGAATTCACGCAATAAAGTAAAACTGTCTTGCATGTTAGCCGGATATGAGTCCCTCTGTGTAAAGTGGGGCCATGGGGTGCAGATGGGTCTGCTGACTACGTACCTGGCTCCCTGCCACGTGGCAGCGACCCTGCCCGAGCTACTCGACGTCATTGCCGGGGTGGCGGTTGATACCCCCAGACTTATCGTCATGGGGGATTTCAACCTTCCATCCGCGGGTGAGGCGTCAGAGGCGGCTCGGGAGTTCATGGCTTCCATGATGGCCATGGACCTGACCCAGTTAGTTCAAGGCCCAACTCACATAGGGGGACACACTCTGGACCTGATTTTTGTCTCTGGTCAGTGGTTGAATGATCTTGGTAGAGGGGACCTAGATATTAAACCCTTGTCATGGACAGATCATTCGCTCCTCCAACTAGACTTTCCTACCGCCGTCCCCCGCCGCAGGGAGACGGAGCCAACTAGATGGTTCCGTCCCAGGCGCCTGATGGAACCCGAAAGGTTCCTGACGGAGCTTGGGCCGTGCCCTGAGACCCTAACACACGACTCGACTGAAGAGCTGGTGGCCGCCTGGGAAAGGGCGGCCGCTGGAGCTTTGGACCGCGTCGTGCCTTTGCGGCCTCTGACCCGATGCCGATCTCAACTGGCTCCTTGGTTCTCTGAGGAGCTGAGAGAGATGAAGCGTCGGAAAAGACGCCTAGAGAGCATTTGGAGGACTAGTCAATCCGATTCCGACCGGACACAGGTGAGGTCTTATATCAAGACCTACCTAGTGGCGATAAAAGCGGCAAAGTCTAACCACTTTTCCGCTCTTATCGCATCTGCAGAGAACCGCCCAGCCGCCTTGTTTAGGGTGACCCACTCCCTCCTCCGGGGGGGAGTGCGAGAAGATCCCTTGCAGGGTCGCGCTGAGGATTTTGTGCAATTCCTGCACGATAAAATCGCTCGGATTCGGGATGGCTTGGACTCCGACTGGATGAGTCCACGGGAGGAGACGAGGGCAGGTCTTGAGAATGTTACCTGGGAGGAGTTTGATCCTGTGACTCCCGAGGATGTGGACAGGGTTCTGGGTAAGATTAGTGCCGCCACGTGTTTATTGGACCCGTGTCCCTCCTGGTTGGTGCTGGCCTCCCGGGAGGTTACACGAGGCTGGCTCCAGGGGATTATAAATGCTTCTCTGAGTGAGGGTGCCTTTCCTGCCGCCTTGAAAGAGGCGGTAGTGAGGCCCCTCCTCAAGAAGCCTTCCCTGGACCCGGCTGAATTAGCCAACTATCGTCCAGTCTCCAACCTTCGTTTTGTGGCGAAGGTTGTTGAGAGCGTGGTGGCACGACAACTTCCCCGGCACCTGGATGAAGCTATCTATCTGGACCCGTACCAGTCGGGCTTCAGGCAGGGGTACAGCACTGAAACGGCATTGGTGGCATTGGTGGATGATCTCTGGAGGGCTCGGGACAGGGGCTGCTCCTCTGTCCTAGTCCTATTAGACCTCTCGGCGGCTTTTGATACCATCGACCATGGTATCATGCTGCAGCGGTTGAGGGGGTTAGGAATAGGGGGCACGGTTTTGCGGTGGTTCTCCTCCTTCCTCTCCGACCGCTCGCAGTTTGTGTTGGCAGGGGGACAGAGGTCGACCTCGAGGCATCTCGCATGGGGAGTGCCGCAAGGGTCGGTCCTCTCGCCTCTCCTGTTCAACATTTATGTGAAGCCGCTGGGTGAGATCATCCGTGGTTTTGGGGTGAAGTGTCATCTGTACGCTGACGATACTCAGCTGTACATCTCCACCCCTGACCACCCCAACGATGCCCTTGACATGATGTCCCGCTGCCTGGAGGCCGTACGGGCCTGGATGGGGAGGAACAGGCTCAGACTCAACCCCTCCAAGACCGAGTGGCTGTGGCTTCCGGCGCCCCGATATAGTCAGCAGGTGCCATCGCTGACTATTGGGGGTGAATCCTTGCCCCCCACAGAGAGGGCTCGCAATCTGGGTGTCCTCCTGGACGCACGGCTGTCTTTAGAAGAGCACATGACGGCCGTGGCCAGGGGGGCCTTTTATCAGGTTCGCCTGATTCGCCAGTTGCAGCCCTTTCTGGATCGGGACGCCTTGCGCACGGTCACTCACGCCCTTGTCACCTCCCGGTTGGACTATTGTAATGCTCTCTACATGGGGCTCCCCTTGAAGAGCACTCGGAGGCTCCAACTGGTCCAGAATGCGGCCGCGCGGGTGGTTATGGGTGCAACCCGTTGCGCCCACGTGACACCCTTCCTGCGCGAGCTGCACTGGCTCCCAGTGGTCTTCCGGGTGCGATTCAAGGTGTTGGTTACCACCTTTAAAGCGCTCCATGGCATAGGACCCGGGTACCTTCGAGACCGACTTCTGCCACCAATAGCCTCCCACCGACCAGTCCGCTCCCACAGAGAGGGTCTCCTCCGGGTGCCATCAGCCAAGTTATGTCGGCTGGCGACACCCAGGGGGAGGGCCTTCTCTGTGGGAGCCCCAGCCCTGTGGAATGAACTGCCCCCCGAAATACGAAAGATTTCCGACCTCCGGGTGTTTCGCTGCGCTCTGAAGACCCTGTTGTTCCGCCAGGCAGGGCTATTAACATAACGTTTTAAATTGGGGTATTTTAAATTTCTGGGATTTTAATTGGAGCCTAATTATTTAATGATTTTAAATTTTAAATTGTTGTCGTGTTTTTTGTGTTTTTAAATAGGCTGTACACCTCCCTGAGTCCTTCGGGAGAAAGGCGGTACAGAAATAAAATTATTTATTTATTTATTTATTTATGTTCATAACCAGAAGCATCTCAGAATTTATTGGATGGGGGAGGGGAGAAATGACCCATATAGCCTCCTTGTGAGGGAACATTTGATAGCAGTGATGACAATAAATTCAATAGGAGTTGGAAGAGATCCTGCTCAGAAGATCTCTGTGGGGGAAAAGGGCTCAAGTGCAGGACCTGGCTTCAGCTGGGACAACACATATATACTGGACACCTTGAATAATGTTAATAAAAGTTGGGTCCAGTTGCCTTGCTGTTGGAGATGTGATTTAAAAATTTTTAAAATGTTCATGTCAAAATGCATTGAGTAAAATTCATTGAGTTTCAAAAAAAGTTGAGTATCAAGGTACCACTGTAATTAATTTATGTGGAGTTACAATACAGGATATATTATACATTTCCTTTTCTTTCTTTCTTCCCATCTGCATTAATTTACTAACTCATTTTACATATGCCATTTGTATCTTTTGTTGTTTAATTAATTGATGCAGTTTTTAAAGTGAAAATATAAACAGTAGCAATCATTTGAATATATATCAGACATAGATGGAATACCACTGATTCTTTGTAATAGGGAAGATAAATAGATATGGTGGCTATATAAATTTGATTAATAAATAAATCTGGATTTTATATTTTTGTATTGTTGCTTTTGTTTGTTGTTATTATTTATATGCTTCTCAGAGCTGTGAGATAAAGGTCTATATAAATGTGATTAATAAATAAATCTATGTTTTGGTTCTTAAATGCTCCTCTCTCTCTCTCTCTCTCTCTCTCTCTCTCTCTCTCTCTCCCCCCCCCCTCCCTCTCTCTCTCTCTCTCTCTCTCTCTCTCTCTCTCCCTCTCTCTCTCATAGGCATGAAGCTAGCTGGGTGACCTTGGGCCAGTCACCCTCTCTCAGATATAGGAAGAAAGTAAGGACAAACCTGTTCCAAAAACATTGTAAGGAAAATGTTTTGGGGACTAATCCAGACAATCACCAGAAATTAACACTGACTCAAAAGGCAAATAAATAAA